TGATATTCATTCTGGAAGGCACAGCTGGGAATCAGATCACCCAAAGGTGTAGAAGGTGGCTCTGAAGACAGTATCATATGAAGAGGATAAGTAACTTGTCACAAATTCTCTTAACTGGAATCAATAGTAAGCAATCAGTGACAACATTACTTCTAGATTATTACAATCTGCAACTTTCTAAATCCTCTTCATCAGCCCGTTACATGAATTTATAAAGGCACTGTGCAAAACGTTGGCTGGGCTGACAACACTTCTTGCTTGGAGTGGTATAAAAAACAAAGGCACATTTCATAGGAACCTAACTTTATATCAACTAACAAAAATAATCAAAAATAACCTTTTTATATATAATAGTAGGTAAGCTTGATAATATAGCAGATTTTAAGTCAAAAGTCTTGAAGAGGTTTCTTCTGAACAGCAGGCTTGAGTTTCACGGGATATTCATGAGCTAACACTCCACACGACGATGATGATAACGATGATAACCACAACGCTAATCCCAATCGCCCACAACTTGCAATTCTTCCACCAATATTTTCTCTTCAATTTGGCAGCACTCGTTTCAAACTGGGAAGCTCCTGCCTGCAGTGCGTCGGCACGGTCGTCTAGCTCAGAGAGCTTCTGATCTCTTTCCAACACCTTATCCACATTAACACGCATGATGTCCACCACCTCATCCACTTGGTTTTGTGTCTGCTGCAGTCTTCGACTGCTGCCAACAGCAGCACTTGAACCTGCAGGTGCACCTGTAGACATTTTGGCGGTGGCGGTGGTGGTGGCGGTGGCGGTGGCTGCGGCAAAGAGGAAAGAAGGATCGACAACAGCAAAATGTTGAACTATGTAGCTTTGTGTTAACAGCTAGGCCTCCTTGAACCAGGAGATAGTCATCAGAACAGACAAGGAAACACTGTGTGGTTCAGAATCAGGAAACGAGTGTGTCAGGGATGTGTCCTGGCACCATTCCTTTTCAATCTGTATGTGGAACAGATCCTTCAGAAGGCTGGAATTGATAAGAAGTGTGTCATTAGAATTTGAGGAAGACTCATCAACAACCTGAATTATGCAGATGATACAACTTTGCTGAAACTGAAGAGGACCTGAAGTGCTTGCTGCAGAAGGTCAAGGACTGTAGTCTTCTATATGGATTGAAGCTCAACATCAAGAAGAACAAGATACTCACCACTGGCCCAGTTGGCAACACCACGATAGACAGAGCAGAGATTGAGGTTGTTAACAATTTCACCTTGCTTGGCTCCACAATCAACACTCTTGGCACCAGCAGTCAGGAAATCAAAAGACAAATTGCATTTGATACAATTGCATTGATGGGAAAGTCTGCTGTCAGGGACTTCTCCAAAGTGCTAAAGAGCAATGATGTCAGTATAGAGACTATGGTGCATCTGATCCAGGCCATGGTGTTGGCAATTACTTGCTTTGTATCAGAAAGCTGAACAATGACTAAGGATAACAGAAGAAGAATCAATGCCTTTAAGTTGTTGTGATGGAGAAGAGTATTGGTCATAGCATGAACCACTAAGAGAACAAGTAGGTCACTCTTGGAGAGGGTAAAACAAAATTTCTCCTCGGAAGTAAGGAATTTGAAGCTCTGTCTCCCATATTTTGGGCATGTGGCCAGGAGAGATTAGTCCTTGTAGAAGGACATCATGTTTGGAAGGGTGGAGGGACAGCACAGCAAAGGAAGACCCTGGATGAGATGGATTGATATGGTAACTGGGGCAAAGCAGTTAGTTAGGTGTATTGGAATCAGACTGGCTCAGGATAGTGCAGAGTTCAGAGCTATTGTACATGGGGTAGCTATGAGTCATGAACGAGTCAATGGCACATAACAACACAAAACAGGCCACCAGAACTGTCTACTGAGAACTTAGAAGTAGATTTCTCTATTACTAAAAATTACATACTTCTTTATGTTTAAAGTAATTAGCATCTGTATCATCCTTAACATAGTATTTTTACTTAGAGACAACTTTTCTTTCCACTTTCCTTTTCCTTCTACTCTCTTGTTGTTGTTGTTATGTGCCGTGCAGTCGTTTGCGACTTATAGCGACCCTATGTACAACAGCTCTAAGCTCTGCTCTGTCCTGTGCCAATCGCACCGTCTCCGATACACCCGTCCCGATTACCCCAGTCACTGAATCAATCCACCTCATAGGGGGCCTTCCCCTTCTGCGCTGTCCCTCCACCCTACCAAGCATGATGACTCTCTCCAAGGACCTGTCACTCCTTGCAACATGTCCAAAGTATGTTAGACGGAGCCTTAGAATCCTTGCCTCCAAGGAGCAACCCGGTTTGACCCTTTCCAGGATGAATCATCCGCCACATTTCAGGTAAACGTGGAGTCCTCAAGGCCGCAGCATGCGATCCGTTCTAAGGCCCCATAGAGGGAGAAATAAGGAAATCCTGGCAGGCAGAGAAGAAGGGCACCAAGGGTCCTGAAATCATCTGCCACATTGCAGGTAAACGTGGAGTCCCCAAGGCCGCAGCGCATGATCTGTTCAAGGAAAAAAACCTATCTACACACCACCTCTACAGGACACATCACCTTCGCTCGGAAAGCATTGCCACTGAACTTAAGAGACACTGGTAACATCATAAGAAACCTTCTGAAGGCGACATATTTGGAATCACTGAAGCCAAGGAAGCTTCAGATATAAGCTATCAGATCAAGGGTGGGACAATGGGAGATGAATGTTGAAGGGAGTGGGTAGAAGTGGATGGGTATCCTGCCTGGTAGATGGTGGAGCAGGGAAATAAGTAGGTAAAGACACGTTCCAAGGAGAGGGACAACACTGATACGAATGGTTAACTCCACAATAAGGAATATATCTTTGACTTTTCTGTAAAACGCTGGTCTATCTGATACTTCTCTAAATCTGAACATTCAGATAAAGACAGACTAGGAAGAAGGACTTGCCATCCACTTCTGAAATACCAGGCCTCCGAAAACCCTATGTACAGAAAACCCTTCTACTCTCTACTATATAAAATATGTTTCTCATATTCCCTACAGATATAACTGGGTTATATCCACAGGGAAAGTCTTGGTCAAGTATGTGTATATTTCTTGGCTTTTCTGCTGGTGAAATGATCCCTCATTTTTCTAACTTCAACTCTCTTTCTGGGTTCATTTGTGGTTTTAGAAATGCACAAACTGTTTAAGTATACCTTACAAATTTTAATATGTAAATAATAAATTACTTGTTACCTGATAAGTGGCATTAGGTTATGTGTGAGGCAGTTTTATAATTTTTTTTCAAACCTAGGTAAATACTATGTGTTAGGATTTACTAGGTAAATTATTAGTGTTAGGATTAGGGCAAAGCCTGGCATAAATACCCTGGAACATAAATGTGAACCCCAGAATGTCCCATAGAGATGGGTGGACTATAGCAAGAGGAGCACCTTTTAAAAAACAGATGATTAGATAGATAGATAGATAGATAGATAGATAGATAGATAGATAGATAATAGATAGATAGATAGATAGATAGATAGATAGATAGATAGATAGATAGTTTCTGCTTCAGTGGGAATTTTACCGATTATGTGAGTGGTTGCTGTGGGGACTAGAATTAGGTGAGACTATAGGTTTTATTTATTCTAGTGGTGAGATATTCCTCATAGATCATCACACAGACAATTATGTAGAAACAGTGGCCTTGAAGAAAAGTAGTTTTTGGCTTATATTCTATGGAACATTTGGATGTTTAAAAATTAGAGTTTCCCCTAAGTGTTTCAATCACATTAGAAGAGGCACAATAATAAGGCAGTAACTATGGACCCCTCTGGTGGCCTGATGGTAAGAAGCTGTGCTTCAATCCCAAAGGCACATTGTTTGAATCCACCAGCTGCTCCACTGGAAAAGGATGTGTATTCTTCTCTGGTGCAATTTCCTGCCTCTGAAAAGCAGCTGGAGGGTGAGTCTTGAGTCCGTTCCAACTCTCAGGCACACAACAATACAACAAAGGAGTAAGGAGGGACCAAGAGTTTTCAGCAAATGGTCATTAAGGATTTTCTCAGATGGTTTTTTCCTGAGAGTATTGGGAGATTCAGACTTTTTCATACATCGCAGGTAGGTATGTAAAATGATGCAACCACTACGGAAAGCAGTTTGATGCTCCTGAGGAAGCTGGGAATAGAGATGCCATTTGACCCAGCAATCCCACTACTACATATATGTTGTTGTTGTATACTGTTGAGTTGGACGCGACCTATAGCTGACCCTATGGCCGGTTTTCAGAGGCAGTTAATCCTATGGGAGGAAATTGTCCATCCTTCTCCTGTGGAATAGCTGGTGGATTTGAACTGTGTGCATTTAGGTTTGCACCGCAGCATCTTGCCATTAAGCCACCAGTGTTCACTAGGTATATACCCCAAAGAAATAAGAGCTGCAATATCAATTTACCTATTCATACCCCTTTCTATTGCAGCATTATTTACAATAGCAAAAAGTTGTTAATCACTCAGATGTTTGTCAAAGGATAAATGACTAAAGAAAGTGGTGCATTCAGAAAACAGAGTATTGTTGTTGTTGTTGTTGTTGTTGTTGTTGTTGTTGTTGTTGTTATGTACCACCAAGTTGCCTTTGACTCATAGCAACCCTATGTACAATGGCTATGAACCCTGCCCTCTCCTGAGCCAGTCTCAGTCTCTGACACACCTACTCCCAATGCCCCAGTTACTATGTCAAACCATCTCATCTGGTGTCTTCCTCTCCTACACTGTCCCTCCACCCTTCTGAGCATGATGTCCTTCCCAGAGACTGATCCCTCCTGGCTATATGCCCAAAGTATGTGAGACACGGCTTGGAAACCCTTGCTTCCACTGAGCAGGCTGGTTTAAGCCTCTCCAGGATAAACCTATTTGTACTCTTAGCAGTTTATAGCATATTCAGTACTCTTCTCCAGCACCACAACTCAAAGGTATCAGTTCTTTTTCTGTCAACTCTAGTCATTGTATCACTTTAAAAAAAATTAAAAATTGTGAACTATTGCCCCAAAATGGGAATTCCAGAACATTTAATTGTGCTTATGTTAAGTCTATACTTGGACCAAGGAAGTCCTCACAACAGAGCAAGGAAACAATGCATGGTTCTAAAAGGAAAGGTGTGCATCAGAGATGCATCCTGTCTCCATATCTTTTCAATCTATATGCAGAACAGATCATTCAGGAGGGTGGGCTTTATAAGGAGTAATGTGGCATCAGGACTGGAGAAAGACTCATCAACAACCTACATTATGCATATGGCACAACCTAGCTTGCTGAAATTGAGGAGGACCTGAAGTGCTTGCTGCAGAAGGTCAAGGACTATAGTCTTCTATAGGAATTGAAGCTCAACGTCAAGAAGAAAATGATTCTTACCATTGGGCCAATTGGCAGCACTATGATGGATGGAGAAAAGATTGAGGTTGTTAATAATTTCAGCTTGCTCAACTCCACAATCAATAATTTTGGCAACAGTAGTCAGGAAATCAAAAGATAAATTACTTGGGGGGAATCTGCTGCTAGGGACCTCTCCAGAGTACTGGAAAGCAACTATGTCAGTCTAGAGAGTAAGGTGCACCTAATCCAGGTCATGATCTACACAGTTACTTGCTATGCACCTGAGAGCTAGACAGTGACTAAGGATGACAGAAGACAAATTGATGCTTTCACATTGTGGTGCTGGAGAAGAGTCTTGAAAATACCATCGACTCCCAAGAAAACAAATAGGTCTGTCTCAGAGAGGTGAAACC